CGATCAGACACTGAGATAGATTTTTTATCACATACAGTATAAGGCAAAACACGCGGGTCTTGACGGGACGATTCCCTAGAAACTAAATTGATACAACAGTTTTGGTGTGCTCATTAATACGGATAGCAGTCGCGCAATTTGAGAGGTATCGAGTGTGCTGCGCGCTAGCATGTACATCGAATTTTTCTATCGAAGACCATGAACCTCAGCACTATCCCTAATATCGACTCGTGGCGGCTTACGCCTCTGTCTAATTTGTTTGTTGGGGACCTCTAACATTCAAATGCGTTTGAAGCGTGAACTTTAAGACCTAAGACCAAGCTTTGGCTTACTCAGTAAAGGCCCATCGGTCTGATGAATTTCGATTGTCGTCGTCGACGATGTTACGAGACCTTATAACGTCGTCCGACTCGACGAATTACCTCAACATATATTTTTCCTCGACTTCCCTATTATTGGAGATGTCAATATTAAAGGTATGGGCTGACGTAAGTGCGTCGACCCGCTCACATCATCATATAATTGCTGAGGTACGAGCAGCTCTGTATGCTATATATCTATTTATTTTGATAGATCTGCTTTTCGAGAGCCCTGATATTGAAGCGAGGATACTTTACACCTTTCGGCAGCAAGTTTTCCAGGATAAACTCTTCGGAATGGTATGCTTTTAGTCTCTGTCATAGGGCTCCTACATGCTACTAATGGCGATGTTACTAAGAGAAGAAACTATATATTTAATTGAATACATTTGATATCACTTATATGGGGGAAACCTACAGGCGTAGGGTGAATGCAATCTTCTTCGTCCAGCATGTTAATGTTTTTCGAAACGACCGTGGTCGCTGAATGGACCACGAAATGATACCAGGATTATAAGTCACCCATATTCACCATATACATATGGTAAGTCATTGTGCCGAAACAGTGCAGGTGTGCCCGTTCCCAAAGCTGGACATGCACCGTACGTGCAGAATGAGTGAAGAATTTGAGCGAAAGTTGCTCAGAGTCATATAAAGAAAACATGTATATATTATGTTGTTAAGACTCGTATAAAACTAATTTACATTTCTCAAACTTTATTCGACCACAAACTTGTAAATGTAGAATCTCAATCCCTACCCGTTTTCGCCAATCAAGCAGTTATAAGTGATTTTTGGTCGACACCATGACCTATATCAACCAATTTTCAAGCAATGCAAATACCATCTTTGAACAATAATTTTATCACAACTGACTTGCAAGAGAAATATCGTAAAATATAACAAATTAAGGCTATTTATACATTCACACAAATTGTGCTAAAGAAATGCTTACGCTGGATTAATATAAGTACCGGAAGCATTGGATGACCAAAATGAATAGTGTACTGGGCACAATTTGAATTAAGCGAATACGCAACGGTGGTACAATCACGCTATGGGTACGTGCACCCGGTGATTTACCACTTGTTGTACCATGTGCCGTAAAAAGTACGTTAACTAAGGACTGAAGCGTTCCATCCACGTGATGTATGCGATTTTTCAAGTTTACTATTTACAATGAAAAAAGCTTACATCGAGTACGTAGAGACCACTTAATCATCGTATTATAAATGCCTTGTTTACTATTCTGTGATTATAATCCATTGAGGCCTTACTCATACATATACCCCGAGGCACCGTATTCTACCAATTCACGAGCTCGTTAGCTCCCCTGAATCATTTCTATTTTTTTGGGAGATAGTTGACCTATTGAGTCGTTTTTTAAACCCGATTTGCCTTATGAGTCTTGGTTCTTTCGACTTGTTGACTCTTTGTGTAGTGTTATTTTGTACTTGTTGACTCTTTGAGTAGTACTACTTTTTACATGTTGACTCTTTGACTCGTAGATCTTGCGATTCGGACGCGGCAAGTTATACCAACCAACATGATTATTGAGTTCAAGCTGTCCTGAGGCATGGAGCTGTGATAGCTCCGATGAAGAATTCGCAAAATTGTACCAAGTGTTTTTAAATCTCCCAATGATGCTGTTGGATCGATGGGTATTGTCACATGATCGACATCAGTATTTATGTGTGTCAGAATACTTCGAAGCTTTTGTAGGCGGAGTACAAACTTTGCGGATGTAACATTAAAGTACATAAAGTGACTAGATAGTACGTCTATTGTAAGGGGTACATTGAATTAACGGATGGCGGTCGCAAGTACAGAAACTTATACACATTCCGCGAGTATGATGGGTAAGAAGAGAACAAGAAATTACGCAAGTATTCTGGCATTTAACGTGGTGACGTATAGGATATATAGAGATGTGATTTAACATGAACGAAATATGACGTTTGTAAGATTTTCGCCGTTGGACGTTAGGGATCATGCAGTGCAGCACGTCGCGTGGATTCTGGGTCGCCTCTAAAGTAGCTCAAACCTAAATCGAGCACTTAGCTCGAAAAACTGACCTGAAAAAATCTCATCATTATTTCTCAACGGTCATTGATATTCGTGTACAGCGTATCGCGCTCTGGAACGGAAAACATGTGAGGAAGACCCAAATTTCGATCAATCTATATTATGACGACAAGATTAAATTGGAGATCGGAATAATTACCTCGCAAAAATTGGCCATGACTGCTTTGCATGTCAAAAATGTTCATTCGATAGTGTAAACAGGCACCGTACGCTCACACGATTACGAAACACGCTACCTGCACTGAGAGTAGAGCAGAACGATGCACGGAGACTTCACGCACACTACAAAGTGTGGAGGAGCGCAATGAGCGAAGCGGTAAGGTTGAGTTGAATGAAAACAGATATTTGCATGTAACGTAGTTGACCCATGTGGTGAACGATATCCAAACTGCAAACATGTTTGCTGACATATCGCTCGCCCCTTATTGGGCGTATCTTGCAATGAGAGGTGGTTTCATCGGCTGTATGTATGACTTATATCAGCCGAAAAGAAGTGCGCCACTGACGACGAAGAATATTGTCTCTAAAGGAGATATTGTAGTGTAACATATGCAAATGTACGAGTTACTTGACAACCTCTCACTTTTAAGGCCGTGTAGTAGCGTCACTCCGTTACAAGGCCAACCGCCAGTTAATTTCTTGCGGAGGCAGGAAGGCTTCCGTGTCGGTTTGACGAAGATGATCATCCAGGACATCGCCGTAAGTACGATTGAGCGTGAAATCAACGATGAGAATGACGGCTGCTGACTTGTGGTTGTATTGATCAATTTATTGCGACTCGATGTGCGTCGCTTTCGGATCGGGTGGGCAGGAACGATAGAGAGTGCGAAAAGGGTGTTTACAAAAAGTGATGTATAAATCATTACATGGTGCCTCGGACTGCGCCTCTTAAACATAAAGCAGAAGCCCGTTGTGGAGCGGAATGATTCCCAATAAGCTACACACGAGCCAGTGTTAAGACGGGAGGCGGAAGACAAATGAGAAGAAAAGCACCAGTCTACCGCCGATTTGGTCGAATGCTCGATGCTTTAAAACCAGCTGATCAAAGTGAGATACAGCAAACAAAAAGGTCCTACCAAAAAAGGAAGGGAGATTGACACTTTCTTTATCAGTATTGGACTATAATAGTGATACAACATTGCTGCGCTTGCCCACTCCAATGCTATCAAATGAGGGGAAGCACATTACCTGTTGCAGCTGTTTCCGACTGGCATGCAGACCTTTTGCTTTGTTCACGGATCCATTCCGAATTCGCGACAAGCTGTTTGTTGCAGTATCGTCTCGACAACACATATCGACTGCTACAATCAGAGTGAGCTTATACGCAGTGCCGCCCGCTTGGCTCAACAGGAACCCACCAGCTTTGTACCTTTGCTTTTAGCTCCTCAGCCCAAAAGAGTAGCGAAATTGTAGTAAGTACTCATGTCTGGCTGATTGTTGTGCCAGAAGATGAACGGGCATCAATTGCTCATCTTCTGATGCTGCACATCGAACATTGGGCAATACCTGGCTGCATAAGCTCTGATTCCTGACCGCACACACAACACGTGCGTTGACGGGTTAGTTTGCGAGACTTAAAGTGGGGATGGGACAATGGTCAGTGTTGTCAGCCGTGTCGACTCATTACCACGCACGAAGTTGTCAGCAAGTAAATGACATCTTATGCACTGGGACCAACATCGACGATGAGACATAGCTCTTTCGACACGAGGCCGACTAGGGTAAGACCATGTTTACTTTTACCCGAAGCAAGCACCCATCAGTCACACAGAATAGCACGAGACGACCCAACTGGGTCCGTCCAGTCAACGCGTCCTAGGCTTTCTTGGCCGTGAGCACGAGGGGTCCGACATTGTCGCCCGTCTCTTTGTTGTGCTTCACGTGAGAGCCGTCGCAGAGAGGGAACTTCTTGGACTTCCAGCAGCGACAGACCGTGCACTTGCCCTTCTCCTTGATCACGTCCTCAACGTCCGGTACGGACATAAAGTCCACGACCTTTTCCTTCTCGAGCTGCACCTTGCGGTTCACCCGCCCAGGCTTTGAGTTTCCCTTGCCAGTAAACAGCGTCACGGCCAGCACCGCGAGAGTGATGAGCAGCGGTGCCAGGTACATCCAGTCGGCATGTTTGAGCTTCAGGAACCCCGAAAACGTGCGGGGGAGGGGCAACCCCTTGAGGTAGCGCGGCAGGTCCGACTGCAGAGGTGGGCAAATTAGTACGAGAAGGGCGCGCTGCGAGTGGCGCTTGCAAGAGGTCGACGCACCTTTAGATACTTGCGGATGACGTCCATTGGGAAGGAGGAACTGACTGACTGAGTGAGTGAGTGAGTGAGTGGGCCGGCGGGTTTTCGTGAATCCCACAAGATTTTCGTGTCGACCACAGAAATGGGAGCAGGAGGTGCGACAAAGGCCTTTTGTTTTGACGAATCAAAGCAGGACTTCCTCTTAGAAACGACGTTTCGGCACTCACTGGGACGATCGCTCCTTGCTCTTAGAAACGACTGTCGCCTCGGACGATCGCTCGTTGCTCTTAGAAACGACTGTCGCCTTGGACGATCGCTACTTTCGCTTAGAAACCTTCGTGTACTTGGACGAGCGCTTTTCCGTAGTGATTGTCGTTGAGCTGGAGGATGACAGTGTGGCGATCAACTTGGGCTTCGTCGAGATGGGCTCGCCCAGTAGCTTCTTCTCCGCGTGCTCTAGGTCCCACTCGTGATTGTGCAAGCGAAGACTCACGCGCTCTTGTTTGTACGCCTTGGGCGCATCAAAAGTCATGTTGGGGCCAGCGCCCATGCCCATCTGCATCTGCATGGCCTTGGCGTCGTCGCTTGCTGCGCACAACGCGAGCATGACCACAATTGATTAGCCCTTCGATTTTGTGCCATGTTCACCCGTCATAGCGCGATACGTACCACTCATTTCGCCAAGAACTAGCGAGAGGAACCCACGCATGCCAAAGCTTACGAGGAAGTACCAGGAGACCGACGAGACGTACGACACGTCCAGCGTACTATCATCCAACAAAACAACAGCAACAGCAATGGAGGTGCAGCCAGCGGTGAGACGAATGCAATCAAACACGCAGCTGGGCTACCACATGCGCCTCCTTACTTGATCTCAATGCCACGCTGCAGCATCATCTTGAATTTCTGCGTAAGCGAGAACGGTACCTTTGCTGCAGGCAAAAATAACGAGCGAGCAAAGCGCACACAGGGTCAGCACAACACACCACATGATGCTCGATAACTACCACAGCTAGCGCACCTAGCACGAAGCCGCCAAAGAAGTAGCCCATGAGCCCCATCATGACAAAGTTAGACACCATGAAGGTCATGTTGCCCTTCATCATTTCCAGCATGCTATTGGGGTTCATCATCTGGTTCATCGCCTCGCTCTTGACCTTCTCCCGCAACGCCCCTTTTCGACCGTCTTTCTTCTGTGACGATGTAAAGTAGTACTATAGACAGTGCCATGTCGTCCACAAAATAAGGCGTTACGTTCCCCTCAACCTGTACTCACCATCTCTACCATTTCTATGCCTCGCCGTCCCCCGTACCTTGCGCACGGCAAAGGCGTCCGGTGCAATGAACTTGGAATTGATGCGCGTGATCTGCGCGCGCTTGATCGTGTTCCTGCCTCACAAAGCGGTTATCGCAGCAGCAGTAGCACGTATGTCATGAGTCGCAAGCTCTCCCGTCTGAACGACCTGCTCGGCCACCTAAGTACGACCCCACAGCCACCTACATGGGCAGGAGTTGCTCGACGCTCGCCATCTTCTCGTTCTTCAGCAGCAGCGTGACGTAGTGACGCACCATCGCCGAGCATCCGAAGATGATGATCATGGGCAGCACGACCCAGTCGCGGATACTCGGGTCCAAGATGATCTCGACCATCGTCACTTGTCCTTCTGCGATGGCTGGCACGTTGTGACCGACTATCGGTCCTTGTGATTGGTCAGAATAACATGTCTGGTCTCGGTATTTCTGCCACTCATATCACACGCTGTTGCACCCACTACGACTCTCCTGTCATTCGCAATATGGTCCGTCTTCGAGGCACACGGGCGGAAGACCACAAGACGCGAGGGACACAGTGCTCACTGAAAGGACGCGTCGCTATTGCTGCGTCCGTCTGTCTATGTGTCGTAGCAGCGGTCTTTCTGTTTGTGATGCCAGTGCTGACGTACAAGACGCCGAAGACCAAGCGCGTTGTCAGCCCCCGTGATCGGCTGAGTCTATCGACCGATGAGGGACATGGGTTCCGACTGACAACGTACCCCCAATTGCTTAAAGATGGAGAAGAACTCGTCGTCTCGTGGAATAGCCATGCAGCTGTACCATTGACTAGTCGAGACTACCTGACGCTAAGCTGTGGGCGAACGACGGGGGACGCAGATTACTTTCTGAAAATGCGTCCAAGTAAGGGCAACGAGACCGACCACTCAGTCCGGTTCTCAGCGCTCTATATGCTGCGCTGCAACTATACGGCAACTTACTACAACTATGACGAGACGAGAGACACATTCCGGGCTCTGGCAAACGTGGAGATAGGAATGGCAGAGCCATTTGAAACGCCCAAGCACGGCCACTTGAGTTTTACCGACGATGAGACAGCAATGGCGATTTTGTTCAACTCTGGAACTGATGATAAGCCCATGGTCAAGTATGGAGAGGATCCGAAGGATCTTGCGTTTCACGCAGCGGGAACGTCAACGACCTACAGTGCTGAAGACATGTGAGTACTGATAATATTGATAGCGGTGTAGGACGCAAAGAAAGGGAATGCTGACATATTGGTACTTACGGAAAATGCTGAAGGTGTCACGCTCCTGCAAACCATACCGGACAGCGCGCATTTCGTGACCCTGGCTACATGCATACGGTGATCATGACGGATTTGAAACCGGATACGTACTACTACTATCAGTACGGCCACAAGAAGCACGGCCTGAGTCGTGTAAAGCGATTCAGGTCGCGGCCCCGGAGAGACTCGAAGTATGCAAAGTTCATCGCGTACGCAGACATGGGCGCGTATTCTGCGCCTGGTTCAGCGTCAACTGCTAGTAGGGTTTACGAGGATGTGGTGGGAAGAGGATACGATTCGTTTTTGCTGCACTTTGGTGACATCAGGTACGAGTGAGACATTTGTCATGTGGTGTTGCTAGTGAAGCTCATTCGTACAATGACCTGACTTTTCTCAGCTATGCTCGATCGGCTGGTTACATTTGGGATCATTTTTTCCACATGATCGAGCCCTACGCGACCAGAGTGTACGTTCCTGAGCTGGTTATGCCGCTGGTCTTGTGCGATAATTGCAAACTGGGTCTCAATATATGGTTGTGTGCATGAATGTCCGTGATAGACCATACATGGTGAGCATTGGAAACCGTACGTGCTATGCGTTCGCGTGTCGTGTGCGACACATGCCTCATGTGTTTCTGATGTGTTTATTTCGCCTGTGCAGACGAATATGACTACGTTACTGGCGGAGAACGGGACCTGAGCGGAGGCATGCTGCCATATGGAGGCAGCTTCAACCCGTCGTGGGGAAACTTTGGCACCGATTCGGCTGGAGAATGCGGGGTACCAATGCACCATCGATGGCATGGTAATGTTGGCGCTCCCCATTATCTTGCCTGAGGTGAAGGAGGATGGTGCTGACCGCTGTGTGTTTGTGCTCGAAGCCCCCAAGACAGGGAACTGGATCTACTGGTACAGCTTTGATTACGGAGGCATTCACGTGATCCAAATGTCGACAGAGCACAACTGGACTCGAGGGTCTGAGCAATACGAATGGCTTCAGCACGACTTGGAGCAGGTGGACCGCAGTGTCACCCCGTGGGTTGTGCTCACAGCGCACCGCATGATGGTAAGAAACCCGATCGCTATGTAGTGGATACCGATCGGCTTACCTTCATTGTTCTGTCGTTTAGTACACGACGCAGATGGACATCGAGTCCGATATGAATGTCTCCTATGTGTTTCAAGATGAAGTCGAAGGCCTGATCCACGAGCACCATGTGAACCTGATGATGGTGAGTTGTTTGAATGTTGATGCTTTGACCCGTAGCGACCTTGAGCTAAGCTTCTGTGACTAGGTTGGCCACGAGCATTCCTACGAACGCAGTTGTCCTTTGTATCGGAAGAAGTGTGTGGATGACGGAAAGGGCACGATACACGTCGTCATAGGCAATGCGGGATTCCCCTTGGGAACGGAAGGTTTCTCCTCAAAATATGGGAATTGGAGTCTTCGTCACGTAAACGCGTACGGGCATCTTCGTATCTCTTCCAGCCCGAGCGAAATGCGTGCTCAGTTCGTGCTCAACGAGAACGGCAATGTATACGACGAGTTTGTTGTCGTGCCATGGGGTGAATCGCAGGAGGCCAACACTTGAAGATCTATTGCGGCAAGTGTCTAGTTGTTGGATGATGTAGGAAGCCAAATGGATGAGTGGCCATCTGTTGAATATACGGTCTGCGTTCATTTTTTCGTCCTTGTTCATGCACAAAACTTTCGAGTGATCCGACCATCTCTTGCCGCAGATCCATGGAAGCAAAGAGTTCTTGCAAGACGAGCCAACATAGCAGCAGTAGCACCGGAATGTGGCACTGACAACAGCAGTTGCAGCAGGTCTCACGTTGTCGCCTTGCGTCAATATGCCGCAAAGCTTGCGGCGCTGAAGGAGGTGAAAGTCTACAGGGGTACCACTGCGTCACTGACCCACAAAGTGGTCAACACGACCACAGATCATCGACTGAAACGCGATGCTGTCAAGTTCAGCGGCTCTGTCTTGCCTTTTCGATGGCTGCCAAGCCCATGGCTCGAGAAACAGCAACAAATACATCATTGTCTATTGAGCGCTGATTTACAGGCAAAACTGTCAGTGATCATCGCATTTTGCAGAGCACCGACGTACTTCCACTTGTAATGACATATGGACTCGCACCGAAAGCATTTGCGGCTTTTGGGCGCTTCAAGTGAATGCGGTCAACGCTCTGGCAAAGACAGTGCACCACTTGCAGTATGACAATAGTCATCCGATGAATGGCGGACATGAGCCATGTCTACCTCACCTTACCCGGTCTCCATTGCTTTGCCGTATCGTGTTAGCTGGGCATACGCCCAGCGAAAAGGTTCTGGCGCTATCAGCCACAACGTTTCGACACGCTGCGACTGGCTGCGTGAGCAACAACAAAAGAAGTTGCAAGGGTCTGCTACGGCGAAACCGCAAGCGGTCAGGACAGACGCAAGCGCGACGGATCACAGACAACGTCATGAACGAGCTTACTGCAAGACCGAATCAAGCCACAACAGTGGGCGCAGAGCTTCGAGGCAGAGCCGAGTCGCACAAAGTCCTACGTGTTCATCCTGACGGAATAAAGAGAGAACGAGGACACGGGGCCGACGCCCCACTGGAGGCAGCAAATTGCGTTCATTAGCCGGACAGCGTCTGCACTACGGAGGGAGCAGCCGACACAGCTGTCTTGACGGTGTCTCGGATCGTGACGTCCCCCTGGTTAGAACCGGCTCTCACTCTCTGTGGTCGACGTCGCTCGACTGTTCCTGCTGCTGTGCGGCTGCGTGCGCTGCCCGTCGGTCCACGTTGCGCTTGACGAGAACGCCAAAGCCGCGCGTCACGTCGGCGAGTGTGACGACCGTGATCAGCACGAGGCCGCCCGTCACTGTCTTGTGCAGGATGTCGGCCACCTTGTTCGAGCCTGCCATGATGTCGAGGGCTGGGCGTTTATCGCGGCGTTTTGTTTGGTTTGTGTAAAAACGATGTCAAGAGTTTATTTGCGTTGACGGTAGTAGTCTTGCCAAACATTGCTACGGTATTTCTGACTACGACGGCAAACAGTATCATTTTCAATTTGATTGGTACGAACGATATCGAGTCGACGTTCTTTTCTCAAATATTCCCAATGGGTGACGTTGCCTTGGAGAGAACAGAGCGTGTTTTTTGCGTGCACCTGGCATACTTGATAATACGGATGTACCCATGGTTGATGTTCCCAGTCCACTTCAACGTTGGCCACTTTTTCCAACTGCTTCATCGAGAAAACAAAAGAATACAACTACATGAAGTGCGTATCCCGTAACACGCACATGCAAAGCATGAAGAGTCGTGCGTTGAGTAGAATCGCACAGAGCTCGAAGCTCAAGTCAGTAGCCGAGAAACCTACGCATGTCAAATACTTCAAGATCTACCGCTGGAATCCTGAGACCAAGGGAAAGCCGTCCGAGAAGACGTATCCAGTTGATCTGAACGAGTGCGGGCCAATGGTGCTAGATGCGCTTTTCAAGATCAAGAACGAGCAGGACCCGACACTGGCCTTCCGACGCTCGTGCCGCGAAGCCATTTGTGGCTCGTGTGCTATGAACATCGACGGAGGGAACACACTTGCATGCGTGAGTCCTATCAAGAAGAACAAGGACGTGGTCAAGATCTACCCGTTGCCACACATGTTTGTTGTGCGTGATCTTGTGACGGATATGAGCAATTTCTTTGACCAGTACGCGTCGATCGAGCCATGGCTACAATCTACTAAGCCGAAAGGAACCGAGGTGGAACATCTGCAGTCAATTGAGGACCGCAAGAAGCTGGATGGTCTCTACGAATGTATCCTCTGTGCATGCTGCAGTACAGCCTGCCCAAGCTATTGGTGGAGTCAGGACAAGTACCTCGGCCCAGCAGCTCTATTACAGGCGTTCCGCTGGATCGAGGATTCTCGCGATAACCACACCAGCGAGCGGCTGCATGCAATCGACGATGCGTTCAAGCTCTACCGCTGCCACACTATCATGAGCTGCACGCACACGTGTCCCAAGGGACTGAACCCAGCTCAAGCCATTCGCAAGATTATGGGCAGACTGTAGTTTCGACCGCGACGATCTCTGCGTGACGCAAAGCGGTGGGTAGCGGTCCCAAAAGACGGTAGCGAATCAAAGTAGCGTTGGTTTTTCTTGACAAAAACGGTCTGCCTCTATAAGACGATCATCGTTTCTCACGGGGATCCGGTCCACCACTCAGCGGCAGACAGCAGAGCTCAGTGTCCCAAGTTCCCCTGAACCACCGACTCCAACAGATGAACACGGCCGCCAAATTCTTCAACCGCGTGGCTGGCATCAGCGCTACCGTCGGTATCGGCAGCTTCTGCTTGCAGGAGTGTATCTACGATGGTGCGTCTCTGTCTTGCGTACCTGCAGCAGTTTCTTTCGTGTCGTTGTCGTGCCTCGTTCGCTCGATGTGCGAAGTCGAAGGCGCACGAGAGCAGAGGCGAGCGATGCGAATGGTGGACCTTCGGCTTGTTGACATGTTATATCTCTTGTGATGCTGATGCAGTCGACGGTGGCCATCGTGCTGTGATCTTTGACCGTAAGGACGGTATCCTGGACAAGTCGGTGGGCGAAGGCACGCACTTTAAGATCCCGTTCTTCCAGTACCCGACGATCTTGGACGTGCGCTCGAACTACCGACTCATTAGCTCGCGCACGGGCACGAAAGACCTGCAGAATGTCAACATCTCGCTGCGTTGCTTATACCGACCGAACGCCGAGAAGCTTTCGCACATTTACGCCGAGTACGGCGCAGACTATGCGGACCGGATTTTGCCGTCTGTGGGCAACGAAGTGCTGAAGTCGATCGTGGCCCAGTACGATGCGGTCGAGCTCTTGGCCCGCCGTGACCAAGTGTCGCAGCAGATTGCCAAGGAGATGAACGACCGTTGCCGCAACTTTTACTTGCTGCTGGACGACGTGTCCCTGACGCACCTCGAGTACGGTCCCGAGTTCACGCGTGCCGTCGAGTCCAAGCAAGTTGCGCAGCAGGACGCCGAGCGCCAGAAGTTCGTGGTTATGCGCTCGGAGCAGGAGCGAAAGGCCACGGTCATCAAGGCTGAGGGTGAGTCAGAAGCCGCTCGTCTGGTCTCTGACGCTGTCGCCAAGAGCGGCACGGGTTTCATCGAGGTGCAGCGCATTGACGCCGCGCGCGAGATTGCCGAGACGCTTGCCAAGTCGCGCAACGTCACGTACCTGCCCAACCAGGACGGCAGCAGCGGCGGTGTTTTGCTCGGTCTGCAGTAGACGGAGCTGATGCTGCGAGTCGACTCGTCCTTTATTTTTGGTGCTTGATTGATGTTGAGGTAGTCTGACGTGTTTGCTGCCATTCAGCTGACAATCGCCCAGGAGTTTGGTCAGTGGAACGAACGAGAGAAGCGGTAATTGAATGCAGCCATTTCAGACACGCAGGAAATACGACTTTGAAACGGGTGCGATATCCGAAATTAGTTTCGAGTGTATCGCATCAGGCACAGAAACAAAGCCACATGAACATGTCTGTGCTTTGTGGTCTTCTTGTGTTTGACGAGAGCGCGGCGTCCTGTTCGATACAGACGATCAAGCAGCTCAATGATGCCCGGGCGTTGACCAACTCGGAGCTCATGTAGCTGTACACATGACTCCGTTGACTTCCAAGCCCGTCCACAATTCGTCGTCCTGGCGTCGTTACATGTTGTGCACTGGTCAACGATTCTGGCGCTGATGTGAGACGCTTACTGCGTTTTCCCATAGACGTGCACATGCGAATAGACGCGCGCCGAAAAGCTCGTACGTACTGATGGTGCGCATGACTGTGACACGGACTGGTCAATATGGTCTCATGCTTCTTCAAGGCCCGCATCCTGTAGACTCGTAATTGCTCTCTTAACAATACCTTGATGAAACAGTATTGGCATGAAACTACGTGTGAACGAAGCGGTCGGCATGTACTGAGATAGGCGCTTTGGGCTTGACACAAATTCAGGATAGTGCGTCGTCTTTATTTACAAGATACAGTGCAGCTTCTGTTATTTGCTCGCATTGTAAGCTGTCACAGACTAGCGACCTACCTGCCATTTACGCTCACCGACGGCGATTGTGCTTCCGGGTATCAACTCACCTAGCTTGACACTGGAATGTGCCACAATCATCGAAAGAAGGACTGCGCTCTGTGATACTCGCTGCATGTTGTGCTAGCTAGATATTTAAGCACAAAGTTTGGCTTGGTCATATCTGGTGTCAATCTAAATTGGTTGACCACTTCCCGCATTCAGTGGAGACACACACGAGATGATGCATCGATGATAGACGCGCTAGGATCCGCTGATAGAATCCACACTTGCGTAAAGCGAGCTGAATATCGTTTTACGCCTCGTATAATCCGTTGACGATACGCAGGAAAGCGATGTTGTGATCTCGCTACAAGTGTCATGATTGATCGGACCAGTCCACGGTCACGGCTCTAGCAGCTATTGCTCTACCGCTCCTGTCATCATTGCAGCCGCCAAAATGTCCTAGCTTTGCACATGTTGGCTGCACCGGATACTAAGCTTGCGGTACAGACTTGCGTGTGCCCTGATCCACATGGTTGGTGGAGGTTACAGCGAGCACCGACTGGACACGTCGTTGGGATTCAGTACTTGTAGTTTTGCGTGTTGACGTCGGACATGTAGCACGTGCAACTTCCCATAAGATGGTACCATATTCGTGCACTGACGAGAACAATTGCAGGCGCTGCATACGGATAAAAATCGATCTCTGCCTGGGAAGTTGCTATTGCTCGCATCTACTCAACCAGAGATAGCACAGACATTCTGGCGAGGCCGAGATTATCTCCCAGCATCCAGTTTAGGCCCCACAATGTGCATAACTTACTTGATATCCGCCGTTGTTGGTCTTGTCTCAGCGTCAAGCTTCTTTTCCCATGACCATTATCAGAAAAGCATGGCTGGTATTCCCTGACGACGTTCGCGTCCCAGAGTCAAACTTGATCTCCAAATTGCCATGGCAGCATGACAAAGAGGTCATTTTCTATTGACGTGGATCCATCGAGGCCATACTTGCAGCATCCGTATACGTGTTACGCGATGATTTGAATCTCCGCAAACGGCTGTTGGAACGCAGGTTACCAGTGTAGGCAAGATGCGTGTTGCGAGAAGGAAGCGGCAGGTAAACAATCAGATTCTGCATTGCTCCTTACTAGTTCTCTCTTCTCTGCCGTGCTCGCCAAAGCCCTCTTCTCCAGTCATCCATCTCGCATGCATTCTGACTCTACCTGAATACAATCACTAATCTACTTGTCACTCTGCGTCCACCTTTTGCGCACAGCGAGTTTATGACATCATGGTCCCAGATAAACCCCAAGTCACCGGCCGACCACTCCGATCGCCTTTCGTGCCCTCGCACCCATCTCCAACATTTCCAACAACCAGCACTAAACCCTGTCCTTGCTCAACGTCTTGCTGCGAACGCAGATACCCAAACGGCACTTCCATTTTCTCATAATGGTAGCAAATTCTCCACTGCCTTGCTAATTGACTCGTGCAGTATCCATTTTGTATGCTGCGTGGCATAAGCACCACGGTGCGCATTCAAACCAAAGTGTCACGTATTAACTTAGCAACTGATCAGGTTTACAATGGTATCGGTAACTATGTTTTACAGCGTTCATGACCAGTAGCCGATCATCTGCTGTTAAGCAGTACGGTAGTTACCGCGCTTCGTATCAACTGCTTTATCAGATGTTGGTCGAGCAGTGTTTTTGCTCCTGAGAGGGCAGAGGCACGATGGTTTTCGTCGAAGCAGCCTGTGCAGTTCTAATTTAGTTACCTGCGTATCAAAAATCAGGTGCGTATCATTTGCTGATTGAATATCGTAAACTCCAGCTCATCGGACACTGACGGCATCGATCTTTCTTTCCACAAACGAAGTCTTCGTTTGTGAAAACTTTGTGTAAAACATGTTGCGTTTCCGACCGAGCGGCTTCTCTCAATGTTCCGTCAATCTCAATCAGTCTTCCTAGAGTTGCCGATAGATCTGCAAGCTGCGCAAAATCTGTCGTTGACTCGCGAACTTCGTTTGCCCCATACAGCTGCTGTAAGTCCGCAGCAATGATCAAACGCGGTAGCCAACATTATGAGATGCTGGTTGCATTAGTGATGCAATTGATGGCAGTGTCAGACATCTTGGCCGTTAAGATAACCAACCCACACAACGCACGGCATCTCGTTTGCAAAAAAGCAGCCCTCGTACAATCACATGTTCTTGAACTACTTGTCGTCCGCTTCCCGAGGCTGCGCCAGCGACACGTATCTGCCCGTTGCGAGGCTTGCAACACTCAGCTTGCCTCGGACGATTTCATTGAGTCCTGGACGACATGCGTAACTGGGGGTTCGAATTTGGCGCGTGGATCATTATAACCACGGGGCCCATCCCGGAAAGAGTCTGCATAGATTATGCGAGTCCTGCGCTACACTTAAAAGCTGCTTGACCTGGCCTTCGATACTCAGGGCGCTACCATTCGGATCTTCGTAACCCTCCAACTTTTGCTTGACGCGGATCAGGGCGCGGGCAGCGGCATCCGTACTTCCATGTTCCTCTTGCAGCTCTGTCGCGGGTTCAGTATTATCTGTACAGCCCGTAGCGATGGTAGCGTGACGGGTCGAGGTTCGTGAGTGTGTGGCGAATTTCACACTGTCCCGTTCGCCTCCCTCCTGTATTTTTAGTGCTTTGAGCGGTGAAAGCGTCCAGCGGTAAAGGGGATCATGTACGAAGACCTCTAATATCGTTATCAGTGACGCACTCTTTTGGCGTAGAAGCTGCAGCGTGGCCTCACAGCATCGCGAGAAGACACCGTCGACACCGGCGATTCCCATCCCGTCGACCATGTCTCGTGTGAGTCGAAAAGGAACAGTTTCTGGAGTGTATAGAGCCATCCCCTGGTCGAACACGACGCCGAAGTCGATATGCACGAGCTCTCCGGTCTTCTCATGGATTAAAATGTTTTGCGCGTGGCGATCACCGATACCTAGAATGTAGCCTACGATCGAAGTCACTGCAGCGCTTTGTACATATGCCTGTCGGCGATGGTACCATACAGCCGCATCCGGAAACCTCTCTAGAAAGAAATGGTGGAATACTGGAGTGAAATTCGCCTGGATCTCCAAAAAAGCCGGCAACTTTTCCGCCGCGTGCTTCAGATATTGGCGACATTCAGCATGCTTCCATTCAAAGGGATGATATCGCTCGTGAGCTGACAACCGCTTTGACGTCCGACTGACAAGATATGATCCCCAGGGTATCGTGTTCTCCACCCATTCTAGCACACCAGCAATAGGGGACAGCGGGACTACTCGGTATGTGCGCAATCGTAACTTTCGCTTGCGAGTCTCTTTCTCCTCCATCAAGAACTGATTCATTGTCTCAAACACTTGCTCAATAACAAGGTCTTGCCTTGTGTCATCTTGACCTTTCACGAGCTGCTTGTACCGTTTGCCATCCGAACCGTAGCAATATATGATCTTCGGGCGATGTATTCCACTGTCCGTGATCGAAAATAAAGGCTCGAACGACGACATGCGCACTACATTCGAGTAGTTCATATCAACTTGGGGCGGGATGTAAGATGTGAGTACTGCCGGCATTACGACCGCACCTCCTCGCCGTGCGCGGATGCGGAGACACTGTTCAAACGATGACACTCCAGACCTGCCCAAAAATGTTGCAGTTATTGGTACTTTCGAAAGCGGAATTTTCTTCTTTTGACCATGATACTCGCTCGTGTCGAACAGCGCCAACTGGATGTACGCGTTCGCCACGAAGTCGAGTGACTCAAGCAGCTCTCGATGTTCTGTTTTCATCAGCTCAGCTAGATACACTTTTGCGCCTTCTGCCTTTGCATCTCCAACGTTTGCACGGAATTGCAAAGCCCCTTTACCTTCTACCTCACCACAATTCTTCAGCGCGATAATTTGTACCAGTGTGTGATGTGGGTGCTCCACACTTAATTTCATCACGAGCTTTCGAAGAGCAATTTCGAAGGTGTCGGCGTCCGCGAGTCTGCTACTTATGCGTGAGATGATTTGGTAAGATAGAGGTATGAACTTGAACGATGGCACAGCATCAATGATTTCTTCGATAACGACTCGATTTATATCAGCCTTGCCTCGGTTGTTGAACCATAGCGAGAGCACACGAAATACCATGTCAAGCTCTGACTGCGGCGATAGACACAACCCCTTGCCGTAATTATACAACGCGCCAATCAAGAAATGATCCACCGATGCCTCCACCTTGGAACGCTCATCCATATCATGAACGACTTCTTTGTTGAGGGCGTAGATATGAGCACGATTTTCGTTTTGCATTCCTTGCTCCATCTTTTGTAGCTCTTGGAGTTCCTCGTGCCGTGCTTGCACCACCTTCTTCCCTGCCAACCATTCACGCGACGTCACGCGAGAACTGACTTGCTGGTTCATCGCAGCCATAAAATCGGCAAGCACAAAGTGCGCTTTTGCAGGATCACGTGCCCTTACCAAAACCGCTTTGGCGTCCATCGATGTTACGATTCCCGTAGCTTTTTCAAAGTACTCCTCGAGAATAGTTTGGGAGCTTTCACAACGCTGAGACGCGATCCACTTGCCGGTAGTAGTAAGCACATTGACCAGTAGCAACTGCAACGGTACTACTGAGCCGACCGGTAGCGACGAGTCGTGTAAGTAAGTGGACAGCTCAGAACATACCTCTTTCCCTGTCCAGATTGCACTTTGAAACTCCTGTTGCTTCCAAAGCAGTTTACCTTTCTGTATCTTCCACTGCATTTTCTCATGAATGCACATCAAGTCGCCCTGGCCGAGCTGCTCAAGCTTTAGCAACGCTCTATAAGCTACTGCTGTCCGTCCTGCTTTTCGACTGACCGATGCAAGGTCAAGCTGCAACTTTACCAGCGCTTGCTTGGCGTCCGACGCCTCTGACACTTGAAGAAGAACTTCTTCAAGTGCTAGCAAGCTTTCAATCTTGTCAAAATCATGTTTTATCTGATCGTGTCGTTTTTGCCATTGCGCAAGCAAAGGCCGTACTACCAGTGATATCGGCGGTATGCCGATTGTGCCGTCTCGCGAGGAAAAACCTGCCTTTTGCTCTACCGGATCTCCTATTATTGCAGCTACGTCTCGTTCTACTACACGATCCGGTTTTTCGATGTGACTTGCCATCTCCTCGATTTCCCGAATAGCTCGTAAATGGACCATGGCGGAGTACAAATCTTTCGTGCTTTCAAATGAGTGTAGGCTCAACTGGACCGACCGCATAATCTGCTCTTTTGCTGTTGCCATTGCATTTTGTAAGTGAGCAAAATTTTCGTGTGCTATTGCCCGCAAGCCTTCAAAAATGATTTGCGGGTGCGACAAACGATTCGCCATCGATTCCTTTATGTCCGGGCTACAGTTGCTCACAGTTGGTAGAGCTGGAAGAACTGCTTCCCACTGCATATTCTTCCAGGCAAGTTCGAACTTATGCTGCAAGGCTTGAAGAGAAGGCGAGCCAGAATCTGAATCGATGGATCCCTTGTTCAACTGTATTGATTGCAAATAACCTTCCAGTAAGTTATTGTATCCCAGCGATTGAAGCGACGTCAACATTCCCTCCAACAGTCGAGGCGGGTCACAATCAATCATTCCGCCGTCATGCGTATTTGCGTTTGAAAACTGCAGCGATACGTCATAAAGCGGAAGCGTTTTTGCGTACTGGCGCTCACGACTAAATTTCACCAACTGAGATTGCAGCGTCCGTCCGTCGTTGACTCCGTAGATCACATCATCGTTGCTACTGAGGCCGTACGCGTCCACGAGGATATCGCGAAGAGTATTTGCGACATCGTCGTTCTTTATCAAAGACAGTGAGGTAATTTTTCCGCCGTTCTCTTTTTCCAACCACATCTCTACATATTGCATGGCTGAATACGGCATCTTCACGCGAACGGCAGCCTTGGCTACGGCAAGCAGGTCCACATCAACCATGCATCCGTAAGCCAGTACACTACCACGAGGCCTTCTTGATATTGGAGGTTCCGTTTCTGACGATCGCTTCGGTCTTCTTCCTGTCGATAGTTGTGCTTCACTTTTGTCGCTGTGTCCCACAAATTGAGCCTTCCTCGTCTCACGCAAAAAATTGATGGTGTGAACAACGAGCTGAATGACCTGGGGTGGTTGAGATGGATTCATTTCCAGGCTTTGATAGAGGTCGACCTCATTTACACTTCGGGCACTTGTCTTGTTGCTTTCCACCCCTGTTAAGACGAGCGTGATGCCTTGGTTGATTGCCTTTGTAAGTTGCATGAAATGACCAGCGCTATTAGGCTCCGTTGCGTTCGACCCACTGTCAAGTTTTCCTTTCCGACCAGCTTGTCTTAAAATGATTTCGAGAGCGTAGGGTAAGAGAAAAACAGCCATGTCGGCTCGCAAAGATACCAACGTCGAGCACGCCTTCAGTACCGGATCTGGGCACTCTGCAGTCAAAAATGAAGTCAACGAGCAAACCCACGCTTCAAAACCGACTTTTCGTGCGGATGTCCACAACTCTGTGCAGCGTTGCAATGTGGTCGGTGGCTTTCGTCTGGTATTGCTTGGTGAGGCTGAAGACCAGCTGGACGGCGAGGATTCTTCAAATGGACTCAGAAACGAAATGAGCTCGCCGTCCTTGCATCGAGATAAGGCAGCAACACCTTCATCGAGACTGAGAACACTTTTCAACGTCCGTAGCGTTTGCTGCAGAATTAACGAAGCACCTTTTCCGGTCGTTCTCTCCTCAAAAATAACAGAGCTAAGATACACCAATAGACTCTCGTGCATCGCAAGGAAGAAAGCTGTCTTCGTTTCTCGTAGCGATCCTCGATGAAAATGCAGTCGGTACAAGCGAGACAACTCCCCTTCTTGCTCAGCCGGGCTCAGTTCGTACTCGGTCGCATCTAAAGCTCCTAACTCACCTAAAGCATTTGCTACACTGGCTGTATCTCTGTCCGGAGCGTATTCGTTCTTACCGAATGTGCCAAAAGAGCTTAAATGCAACAATGTGTGAGACAGCTTTTCGTACAGTCCCCTTGTTGACGGCATACAGTCTCGCACAGCTCGGATGCTAGCGGTCAGAGCAGACAGCTCGACATCTGCGGACGACTTCGTTGAAGCTTGTGCATCGACGTGGACATGCCGTCTATCCTCAATCGTGTTTGTCCGAAACGAACTGCTGAAGGGCAGTGGGTTGTAGAACCTGGCACCGCGAGAACGCACCCTCTGGATAAACGTCTCGATCTCCTTCTTTGCTTGATTTCGTCGGCCCACGATGCCGTCCCCGCTTTCCCTTGCTTCCGAAAAAACCTGCTGCTGACTTCTGATAAGCAAATCATTGAGCTTGTCGAGGCTTCCTGATATCCCATTTGGGACCACGTTGATGTCATGAGTGTACTTTCCTAACCCGCCACCCAAGCCACTACATATAGCGAGAATCACCCACTCCAGTTCTGCTCGATCGTCTGCATTCAAACTTAGACTCTTCTTCGATTTGACGCCAAGAGACTTGGCGTCTAAAACTCTCTGCTCCTTCTCACCACCGTCTGACAAAATGTCACTGATTTCTTGCACTACAAACCCAACACATCTTCCAAACGTGTCCGCATTATCGAGAAAGCGCTCACATAACGAGCGAACTAGGTGCGACAATGTACTTCCAATGCGTCGCTCATGCCCAGTTGCTAGACGCTTGATTGCCTGGAAACATATGAGCAGCAACAAATGCTGCAATACAGAGCTATCAGTCACTGTATCACATATTGCAGCAGCAAAAGCCTTGAAACACTCCACCGCACACACAGCTCTCGGGGAAAAGAGTTCTGCCCCTAGCAAAAGAACGTAAAAGTCGCAGAGCAGATCGGCCACATTCGTGGTTCTCCAGTCGAACTCGGAGTACTTCTCTTTCATTGCTTGTAGTGCATCTGACCACAAATTGCCTGGAGAACATCGCTCGTTGTCCGTGCCGTCAACAACACCCCACACTATAAACCGAGCCATCTTGCTTGTGATATGTCCAAGATGCGATAAAGTGAGAACGCGCACTCGTGCTCGTTCCTCTGCTTCTTCAAGTATCCGCTTCGCAACCTCATTCAGCACTGGATCCGGATATGCCAATAAGATGAACGAAAAAGCAAACAGATCCGTCGTCAATTGCTCGCCAATCTCTCCCACAAAAACATCATGCTCTTTCTCATTGTCTCGAATGTTGTAGAGATAGGCTGCCAGATCATTAACAAAACCGAAACGGCTCCTTTTTGTTTGAATCTGTTCTCCATAAACGAAGCTGTGAAGCACACCAACTGAAAGAACCATGTCTAATTTTGCTGCAAAATTCGATCTCCGGGCAGCTGAATTGATCTTCTCACCAAGAAGTGCTGACAGTGGAAACCGCTGCAACAACAGCTTTCCATTGGGAAGAGGGTCTATCGGATCGCTCTTTATCCACCCAAAAGTGTCCTCGCTGTTCGCTTGTGTACACCGGTGACTTGCAACAATAAATTCTTGCCAAAGGCTGCAAAAGTGGTCGTCCAGCAAATCCGAAACGCTTGTGTACCTATAGAACGCCGCAATTGCGCGTAGGCAGATCGAAATTAGCGAAGTAGTACCTGCAGCGTACAGCGACCCATTCATTGATGCTAGCTCCACGCATGCTTGGAGAACTGCGGGAACCGCTATCTGAGATGAGCAAGCGCTCACATACAGGCCCAGCAGCACAGACAAGCACAAGTCCATGGACAACCGCGGGTCGGCAATTTCGTGCCCAGTTGACTGATGATTTCCTTTCACATTAGCAAGAGTTTGCCCCTCCTTGGCGCTGAGTTCTACGGGTGGTGCATCGATCAAAGGTCTTAGTTCTGTGTAAAAGTGCCGAAAAATGCTTGCGCCGCCTTCAGGATACATAAAGTATACGGACTGAAGACAGCGTGACGCTACGACACGCACACTCGCGTCGCAGTCTGTGAGCCCACTTACACATGCTTCTTCGAACGCATGAAACTCGTGCGTGTCTAGGCGGAAAAACACCCCAAGACACTGTAGCTCGGCTCTTCGTGACATACGTAAATTCGCTTTGGATCCAGCATTAGCCATGACGTTCAAATACTTCTTGGCACATTCCAATAGAAGCGCTGGAGGTGATTCACCGTGCTCATACTTGCGCTTTTCATACACCAAACCTGCAAGTTTGATAGCTGACAGCACCTGAGAAAGAAAGATCGGCGCTCGGCAACTCTCACCGCGGGCAGTAGACAAAGCACCATGTTCACTCATACCTTCTTCTGCAGCGTGATCAATTAGTTTGACAAACGTCTCCAGACTGTCGTGGCCCGTGACACCGCAGATGAGAGCAGCTACTGCCAGCACAAAATCAGGGTCCAATTGGAGACACTCTAAAGACTTCTTCACAGCGGAAAAACCGCCATCTCTCTTGAGCAGCAAGATTAAACGGATGCACCATACGCCAATACATTCTTGTATCACGCGACTAGCAGGACGGTCATGAAGGACATTGTTTTCCTCACTAAACGCATCCAAGCCGTGTCCACGATACGCATAATTAGTATGAGATTGTAAACGTAACTGCCAAGTAGACTCACCCTTCATCCATAGCATCATATTCCTTCTGTGTGGGTTGACTTTGAAGCTGTAACTGTGACGCATGACTCGAACTCGGTGTCCAGCTCGGTCTACCGCGGATCGAATGGAAACGGGTGTGCGGCCGAGGCGACAATTGCTCCGTGGCTTTCGTTGGCGTACTACAAGCCAGTGAGACTTCTAGCGTCTCAACAATGGCACTGGTCGCTGAGTAAATGTCGGACGAGACGCGTACATCAATTGGATCTGCTGACGGATGATGATACCCCGCAAGTGTGCTTTGGCCTTGCGAAAGCAGAATCAGCGTGTGGAGCCTGCGCAGTATGTGTACAATATTCTCTGACATAGAGTGACTATGCTGCGCTTGCTTGATCACACTTGGCTTCAGACAGTTTGCAACAATATCAAAGTATTGCTTCAACAATGGAAGTACACTGGTCGAGCTTCTGCTCAAACTATCTGAGCAGTTTACGACTTCGTCAGCATAGAGCCCTGCGAGAACCAAGCCAACCTATCTCGATTAGAAACGCACAGGTATTGTTAACATAGCAAGAACAACCAGGTAAAGATATATCGAGCCAATGTTCGAGTAAAAATCCTTACGTCCAGCGAATTTGCCAGCACTTGCAAACCTTTGGTTGAACTGCATCCATCGGACGGCAAATTGCCCGATATTTCGAGCAGCAAATCAGAAAACAAATGAACCACTTCCTCACCCATAACTTGTTTGACGCTCTTCGAGAAAGATTGAGCACAAGAATGACGGATTTTCGGACAACAGTCACTAAGAAACGCATTTGGACGAGGGATCAGATTTCTCAATAGACAAGACGGAACAGCGAGCCGCTCAAAAAAGTCGTCAGTCTTTTTCTCGCACATGTCTGGCCCGTCGTACCAACCCGACTCGTCCATTCCAACGACATTACCGGTCACCGCCCGTGTAGACAGGAAAAATGCAGATGGCATAGCCCCGGTGGACGGTGGAGAAGCCATAGAGAGATATTCCAGACCGTGCTCACGCATGCAAAAAGCCACTCCAAAGCCATTCATCTCCTCACCGGCAATCCAACCCTCACATTCTTTTTCGCTTGTTGCTGAAAACTTGCGGAGCAACTCGGAAGTCCAAACAGTTTCTCGAGCATCCATCTTTGAGACCGTCTGACCAAAGAATGACCGTATGACGTATACATACACTGTTGGCGACACTTCCGTTTGCCAGTCTATCTTTGTGACCGAATTTGCTGAGTTTCCAGGAGAAACTGCAATGTTTCTGTGGAATACTTGCGCACGGAGATGGTCAAACACTGTCCGGATCATTCTTAACTGGATCGACTCGTATCTATCGTCAAGAGAATTACCGTTGGTGCTGAACAAATTGTGCTTCTGTGGTAGTGCTGTGTTTGTATCGGCTCCCACTGGCAGCTGGATAGAACGAAGTAGGGACAACAACAAGCATATGGAAGCCATCGATGTTCTTGCGTAAGGTCTCATGGTATCTCCTCGAGAAACTGGGCTGTCAGATGTTGGTTCCCGAAACGCAGGCAAATTCCACAAATGCGCGCTGCTGGCCTCAATAAAGTGTATCGAAACAAGTTCAAACGATATACAGCAGTTCAGAAGTGTCAGCACAGCATCGCCCGCTTGACCTCTAATTAAGCCTATTCCCTCCGTAGCGCGGGCGTAAGGGAGCTCTGGTCGGAGCAGGTTTTGCCACACATTGGCCCAGTGTTCGCTCAAGTAGTCACTGCACTGGTCGCGAAAGCGTGCCGAAAGCGACGCCATTTGAACTAAAATTTGCAGCGTCAGTGATTGCAACTTTCCCACTTCTTTGACGACCAACATATCTCCCAGTTTCTGCATCACCATTATCAAGTCGCCGATGCGATTGGATACATAGTAATCACCATGACGCCGTAGAATGGAAAGAAGCAGCAACAACCACGAGCCTGCATCATTGGTTTGTTTTGCATCAATTCGTCTGGACTGAGATGCACGAGAATTGTTTGACAAATACGCAACTGACGGTGTTTGCCGCTGTGATGCAGGTGACACTGAGCTTGCTGATACGTACTGAGTTTCTGTTCGAGGGCTCTCAAAAATATGTTCGATGACAACCTCCCACGCTAGTTCGGTCGAAGTACACCTCAGGCGCTTGCTCCCGGCATCAAACTGTTCCGGCAGAGCACAACCTCGTGTCAGATCGCCACTGGCGGCACGCATCTGCTCTGACACCAAGTGGTCGTGGTGAAAGATGATGTCGGCAATACAAGCTAAGCGTCGAATCTCTAGGTCGTCGACCCCCAGTGCGTTCCCCAGTTTCCGCTCTCGGGCCGAGTTGAATTGCGTCATCACGAGACTAATTTCCCCTGAGCTCATAGCAACGTGGACAAGCTTCTTCAGCTCGCGCAGTAGCTCACTAGGAGACAAGTAGCTTACTTCCGAGTCAGCCGTCGTATGATGCCGATAAAGATCGAGGAATTGCATCACAAACTCTGCAGGTGCACCCCGGATTCCATTCTTTCTAGACCTGTTCGACTTGCAGATAAACTCCAGAACTGCCAATCCTCGCGGAAGCAAATACAGCGCGATCGCTCCACGATTCGTCCGCATCATATCCGTCAGTGTCTCCAGTAACGTCGACGCTATAGACAGCAATAAGTCTACCATGTGATCCACATTCGCAGCTTCAAACCAAGCTGTAATCTGCAAAGTCATGCTCGGGATCACCGAAGTCAAGTCAAACGGACAGTTTTTCAGCAATAGCCGAAGAACCCTCGCACGCGTCGTGGCCGTCTCGACGTCTCCTGTCAGTCGTCCTCGCTCCAAGCTTGGCGAAAAGCTTGCAATTGTCAGCTCAAGAAGTCCCTTCCACTCGTCAACGTCCAGCATGACGCAGTACACGCGATACTGCGCCAGCACTTCCACTGTCAGCCAAGCTTCTTTCTCCACACGCACCTCCACGCTGTGGCCAAGCGCCACGGGCTTTGGACACGTGATCACCGCGACCGAAAAAGTGAACAACTGGCAGATGCATTCGCGGCCGTTTGCGTCCAAGTGCAGCAACGGTCCGTCGGCCGTCACGTGCGCCGACTCGAGCTCCGTGCGCAGGTAGTGCCAGTGCTGCAGCGGTGGCATTTTCGCGTGCGCACTGGTCGTCGTGCGCTTGCGCTTGGGATTCGTGGCCAGGCACGCGCGCATTTCGGTCTTGATCACGTGCAACAGACGGTGCAGGAGAAAGCCCCAGCTTCGCCAGCGATGCACGAGCTGGCGGCTCTGCGCGTCGCTCATGAACACCTGCAGGTGGTTGATGGCGTCCGACGCGGACTTGGAGGTCTTGACGTCGCGCAGGTCGTTGCACAGCGCAGAGAACTGGTGCCATGCAGCGTCGCGCGTGGCCATGTGTTGACACGGACTGACGGGTTGGACGGGCGAGCGCGGACGACAGTTGAAGCGGAGCGAGAGAGTGAGAGTGTATGTGTGTGTTCGACGATAGGTACGAAATGTGCAGGTGGGATTGGGGAGGGTGGGTCGATGTGGTCAAGGTTGCTCGAAAGTGGATGGACGTATTCCCCGTTGGAGGTGCGCTGGCAGCTGATGCGAAGGCTCGACCTTTCATATGGCATCATCTTGCTGCAAAGGTAACGCCGCGATACCTAGCGTCTGACAAGCTGCTTCCCGCTTACTTAGCCAGCTGCATCTGATTGCGAACTCACGTGTACTCATGATTATCGTAAGTATACCTAGCTAGTGTTGCCGCTTGCAAATGGAAATGCGTGGACTACACATCATGGTCGAGTGGGCCGCAGCGTTTCGTATTTGGTTCGATCTAGGATCAACAAAATACCACTTACTCTCTTGATCTTCAAGACGTGTTTTAGTTTGCTTCCCCTGTGTCGTGTCAGTTATAAAGCAACCGTGTTCTGCTATCCTTCAAGTGGAATGTCAGCAAAACAATGCATCTTCATCACACTTGTCGAAATGAAAAAAAGATGCCACTATTGCGAGCCCAGCCATTGCATCTGCTGACAACGTGTGGTAGCACTAGGCGACTTTTGCTCTCATTGCGAGAGCGTGCTACAGTCGCATGCATGCGACAACATGTTGTATGGTTTTCATGTACAGCATGATACTTGCCGAGTGACTGACACATCGCATCAGCCGGGCAACATTCTTGTTTCCATCAGAAAAATGCGGCCCATTCAAGAGCCGGTCTATAGGCTCTTTGGCCACCAGTACACGTTTTCCTTGTCAAGCGAGAAGATTCAAGCACTGGCAAGTTTGAGTGTATCACGGGTCGGATTGGTTAGCTCAACAGCTACGGAGGGATACAGTCGAATGAAGCTAATTGCATAAAACAGCTTGTTGTCATCGCTATTCGTCAATTGCGGAAACGCAACGAGAATTGTCGTTCGTTTAGCAGACTGCACACTATCGGCTCATTTTATCGAGAAAAACAAGTCTGCCGTTGCGACAACGATACTCCGCTATGACGTGGAAAGGGTCTGAAAAGCCAAGCAAAGGTTTGATCTCTTTTCTGAAGAAAGGATGCTTGCACTTGTCGACAGAAACGTGGTGACGCTTATTCAGACATGGCGACACTGCGTCGTTTATCGCAGTTCACGTTACGTTGACGTATATCGCAACGAAGACGACGAAATGAGCTCCTTGAGACATTACCAAAAAGCTACAGACGCTGGAGGTCTAGTGTGTCTACTGCAGGTTGCGTGCTTGCCGAAGCACGGGATCAATCATGAGCAGTCTGCGTCGTTGACGGGTCGACGAAGCGCCTGTTGTAGAACGATGACTGGATGTGTGTGTTAGTTTCGCGTGGGTCAAAGCAGCGGCGACAACCCACATGACACAGCGAGTATACTACGAGATGATCCTTCTGCTACCATTTGCCTATTCTTAACTACCCCTACTCGCGCGCTTGCCGCCTCTCCCTACTTCTTCTAGTCTCAATCTATTCCCTACAGTCCCTACAGTCCCTACTCACGCACCAACATCTCTTCTTCTTCAGCGCTACGTCCTAGCTCGTCGTCCATCTCCCCTTGTGCATCCAATGCCGCAGAACTAGAGGGTGAAGTTGCCATCTCGGTTGCACACGCTCAACAGCATGTTAGGTGAGAAAGCAGCAAGACCTTCTTCGTGCAGGACATCCTCTGCCTCGACAAAGAGCACGGACAACCCGATCACAAAGTGCCAGTCGATGTGGCAGTGCATGAGCCACACCCCCGGGTTGTCGGCGTTCATGCGAAAGACAACGTAGCCCATGTCCGTGCAAGCACCCGAGTCATCCGTCAAGCACTCTGGCACAGTAAAGACGTCGTGCTGCATGGGTCCGCTGAGCCGCAAAGCCGTGATGTTGCCCGATAGGATTGCGTCTCGCGAAGCGTGGCCACTTCCAACGATCCATGGCGAGTGGACGTGTAGGTGGAACGGGTGCTGATCCGGTGTCTCGTTCACTACGACCACTTCAACGTGCTCGTTGTGGTTCAGCTTGATCGCGTTTGCTGTGACTGGAAGGTCTTCGGTGGCAGCACCTTGTGCGATCGAGAATAGCGGTGGAATCTCTGGCGTCACAAGCGAGCTGAAAGGACCTTCGTCGACCGAGACGTATCCGAGAAACCGCCCCGGGTTTGCAGGAAGCACGGCCAGCGTGAACTCCACCATAATGCGTTGATCAGGAACTGCTGGGAGCTCGACTGGCTCGGCTGGAATATAGTCAAACTCGCCGATGGTCACGTCCGTGGGCCAGCTCGATGTGGTCGGGTCTGCGGTGGCATTGCTTTCATAGTCGATGATGGCAAGCGCGTCGGGGTTGAAGCCTGCAGGGACGTCGCTGGCTAAGCGAGCAGTCCAAGGAACACCAAAGAGCGAGTTAACGCGCAGCCAGTACGAGCCCAGCGCTGCTGCTGTCGCTTCTGGATCCGTTTCGTTACCCCCTTGTTGTTGTTGCTGGACGACATCGTTTTGTTCAGACGGTGTCGACTTGGCTTGCACGAGAATGTCGTATCGCTGGGCTGCATTGATCGTCACAGAGTTGACGGGCGTCGAGGGCTCGAGGTAGTCGGCATCACTTGCAACGACTTGGAACATGTGTCCGTCAAGACTGACTTTGAACGCTGCCAAAGCCGATGCGTTGATTAGCCGAAGGAGGTACTTTTTCCCTGGTGTGAACTGGAATCGAGGCAATGGGCGTCCCGGGACACACTCTAAACCAGCAGCTTGCGCTACGGCACAGTCATAGCGACCGATATTGTTGATCAGAACCGTGTCCCAAATGGGGGCCCCCGCAGGCAAGTCGTGGTACCAGTCGCCAAGAAGGACCGTATACTCTGCTTCGACGTCGCTCTCCCAGCTCTGCTTCTTGTCTTCGGGGCAATGGACAATGAGCGAGCCACGGAGACCGTACGCGTATTGCACTTCTTCGTGGCCGTGGTACCAAAAGGTGCCGCATTTGTCCGGCGTGAACCGGTAAATGGCCGTCACGTTGGGCTGGATCTGACATTGCGTGATGCCAGAAGTCCCGTCCATTTCTTGGGTCCCGAGCTGCTTGAGTCCATGCCAGTGCATACACGTTGGCTCAGTGAGTTGATTTGTGACGTGGACCTCCACTTCGTCGCCAAGGACGACGTCGATCGGGTGCTTGTCGCATGGCTCGTTGTTGATCCCGTAGCCGAAAGCACCCCTGACACCATCAAAGATAGTGGGATCGAGTGTCGTGAAGTTCCAGTCGTAGCGCACCACGGCAGCCATTGCTTCATGTGCCCTGCCGAGCAGCAGGATACTTAGAGTGGAAGTGGTCGAAACGAGACGCATGGCGTTTCTTGTAGTTTTTTCTTTCGGGGTCGTGAATGACTGTGAAGAAGGTCGTGCGACTTGTGTGTGTGTGTGTGTGTTGGAGGAAGTGGATTCCGAAATGAGCTACGACGTTCGTGGAGTTACGCTGCGTGCAATGCAATACGAGAGACTAGTCCTGTTGGTGACAGTGAGGCTTCTGCATCAATGAAAGTGTGTTCTTTACTTGCTGCTCGTGAGAGAAGCGGTCGGAGAACTCGACCTCGACTTCCATTTGAGCTCGAGAGCACGGAATGTCTGGGCCTGCGGAGCTGCTGGACGCCACCTCGTACCCATCTGCAGTCGCTATTATCAACGCAAGAGACTAGAAGACGTTGCAGCAGAGACGCATGTGGTGACAGAGAAAGCTGCATACAGAAGACTCGGTGTTTATTCTTTCTCACACGACCTGTTTCAGGCTGCGTAAGGCTCACGTGAGAGACTTCGGGCTAACATCTTCGTACGCATTCTTTGAATGAAGCGATGGCGCGTAGTACAGCGCCCTTCAGAAAAGAACGTGAGTCTAATCCGCGCAAGTATCAGATTGTGCGCTGTCGGATCATTCGATTGACATCCCATTTTCGCTCTTATTCCGGACGCCAGGCCAACTTACATGGCTCTGGCACGCAAAAATGTCCCAGGAACGTCTAAGATGCTATGGCATAGGTTGCAGTAGTACCTACGACGCTAGACAAGTAACGTAGCAACCGCCCGACGACGTCCTAAACAAATGCCCTGCTCATGAGGCTCTTGCCGAAGTGACTATGTGCGGAGTTCTAAGACCGCCGCACGTCGCCGTCTCTAGTATTGCATGTTGCTGGCTGCTGGTAGGTGGTACCTGCTGTTGCCAGTCCGCACACGGTCGTAGCTCCTCACGTATAACGTTGCCACTGAATGGACGGGCCGTGCATGTTTCCTGCTGCGTACATCGACGTCTGTGCTACGCCGACTGACATTTGAACGATGGCTTTGACCTTCGCCTTCGCCGAAGAGAGACACCGATCAAGAGAGTAGGAAACAATCGGTGTGTTCGCTGTTGTCTCTCGCGCACGTCGCATGCATCACGTCGCACGCTTGGTCAGACAATCCGTACGTTGTGACGGCAATTGCTGCAGTCGGCCAAATTTCTTTTGAGCTTTCATCGTCCATGCTTCTTCCTATGATGGGCGCAAGGCCTTCTGCCATACGGGTCACGCAGACATGACTGCAATGCCTCGCTCAAGGGGCAGCTGATGGTTCCCTCACGGCGTCAGTCTTTCACAGGATCTGCGAGACTTGAATGAAGTATGGCTGCTTGTACCTCTACTGCCTAGGGATGGCGCGGGCGCGAGTTGCTCTGGACCGTGCATACGGCCTGTCTGCCGCTGCTCTAGTTCGGGTCACCTGCAGACCACGAGTAGAAAAGCGTCTGATCGACATGATGCTACGGGAGCCTACGAAGCTGTCAATGTCTCGATCAACAAAGCGGGGGATAACGTATCGATCCTTAGCAGTCGCCCCACAGTCCAAGACGACTGAGTGAGCACACGCCGTCGTGGTTGGTATGTTGTACGTCGGGCATGGACAGAGAAGATGTTTTAGTTCATGCTACTTGTCGTAATGATGCATTATGCTTGACCGCAGACGTGTCTGTACGCCTTTCGCCATTGCTCGGCCTCCCTATCATCTCATTGGGCTCTTTGACAAAAGTGACGTCGACAGCTGCATTCAGCACTTGTTTGTCGAAGCCTCGATTTCGCTGGGGCAAGGACGTAGTTCGGGACTTGGCTATGGTACATGCATGAAGCAAACGCTCGTGCTTCACACGTAAGCGCCGAATCGAAGGATCAACGATGTATCCGCAGGCCAAATGTAGTGGGACAGCGCTGTGGGTGGTAGTTGCACGCGTCGGGAAGCTGCCTGCCGACCCATGCATTGCGACTTGAGGTCGTGTCTACGTCATTGAAGCTTCACGTGATGTGTCTTGACCATTCAGCTGCCGCTGGATCTCGCGTTTACTACCGCCAGAGGAACATGGTAGAAGGTGCAAATTCAACCGACAGAAGTGCAGTGCGTAGGACGCCAACGCATCCATCGAGCGATCGCGGACTCCCACTCGCCCGACAAAGAAGGCTCTTACTGGTTTTCTTCGGGAACACCTCGGGTAACCAAGGCCCTCGTTGGCTGGGTAGACAGCTCCCACGCATGAAGCCTTTACACATCTGATCCGGAGGTCATCATTGATAGACTCGACAGCCTCAAAAGATCATAAACACGATTAACGCGTCAACTTTCTCTCCAAAAGCTTTGTTGGTCACTTTTTAATCTGCCAGTGCAAACCAACTGCTCCCTATTTCATCATGAGTGAGACTTCTCAAGTCAGCGATCTTAAAAAGGTGTGGCTCGTGACTGGATGCTCCTCAGGTTTCGGCAAGGAAATCGTAGTGAAGGCGCTTGCTCGAGGAGATCACGTGATTGCCACTGCTCGCGACGTGAGCAAACTTCGGGATCTTGAAGACCGAGGCGCTCGCACGCTGGCGCTCGATGTGACAGCAGATGATGCGGAGCTTGAAAAGATGGTTGCGAAAGCGCTCACTTTCTACGGCACTATCGACATCCTCGTGAACAATGCGGCTTTCTTGCTTGGTGGAGCAATTGAAGAGTGCTCAAGCGAAGAGGCGTACCAGCAGTTCGACACTAACGTATTCGGAGCGCTGCGTATGCTGCGGGCTGTACTGCCCCACATGCGTGCTAAACGGTCTGGTGTGGTTGCGAACATTGGGTCCGCGAGTGGCTGGACTGGGATACAGATGATGGGCGTGTATGGCGCCACCAAGTTCGCTCTGGCAGGGCTTACACTGGCCTTGCGCGCCGAATTGGAGCCTTTTGGGATCGAAGTGACGATCATTGAACCAGGCTCGTTCCGCACATCAATTCTGGGCAAGGGCTTCTTGCCCATGAAGAACTCGATTCCAGACTACTTGCCTATCACACAACCTCTGCACGACCGCATCACCCGGCTCAACGACACGACGTCCGGAGAAAAGCAGCCTGGCGATCCAGCTAAGGGCGCGGTAGTGATCGTCGAAGTGCTCACCAAGACCGGCCGTTGCGCCGGCAAGGCAATTCCCAGTCGCATGCTCTTAGGCAAAGATGCGGTGAAAATCGGGGATGCCGTGCTGCAGGAGACCCGTCGCGAATTTGATAGTTGGG